TTGGATCCCCAAAGGGGTCGCGACCCTCAGGTTGATAACCACTGGTCTAGACTAAAAATCACTCGTCAACCACTTTATCCAGCTGAGCCCTTCAAATTACACATGAACATGTTGTCTTAAGATAAATATGAACATAAATTGCTTAGGATGGAGAAAGAAATTCTTAGGACTAACATATTCAGCACGCTTTCACTCTTGTGCACTAATAAATCAATCACTTCCAATTTAGTCTGGAAGTCTTAAATGGGCAGTAAGTCCAAAGTTTAAGAACCAGGACCCCTGCATGAGGCCCACTGCTCTGTACCATAGATCCAGACAAAAGCTCCATCCGAGAAACACTGCAAATGGGGAAATAGACAAAACATACAAAATTAGCTGCTGGGAAATTACATACACCATCTATAACCTGACATCTGCTTGACGCACTACCTCGTTTGGGGCTTTCACTGTGTGATGTGTTTCCTGTAGTAGAGACGCTCTCATTGAAATGACAACCCTGACCATATGAATCCCACACAAATGGGCATTTCAAACGATCTTGAAAGAATCAAGTGTGCGGGGTGACACCTTGCTTTTCCTCTCACCAAAACCTAAGAGGATCAGTAAGTCTCCCAGCACTGCAAGGGCTCAGTTACCAAGTCTGCCTCCGGTTATCCCTGCTGGTGAATCCAAGCACAGGCACAATTAAAAAGAAGAAAAAAAGGCAAAGACGCATTAAAATAAAAACCGGTATCTGACTCGAAATACATCGTGTGCTTCTCTGCTTCCACGTTTCTTCCCCGGTGATGTTTCACTTAGGAAAGGGTGCGGACGAGACTGCAGTGTGGGCAGGCAGTGTCAAAATGCAACAGGACTGGTCTGGGTCTAGCATTCTATGTGATCTGAAGGCAGGAAGCCCAAGAGATAACGGAGATTAATGGACCAAAAAAAAAAAAGGAGGGGTAGACCAGCACACGTCTAACGACTACAGTTTGTTCTAAGATTAGAAGCACACTGTGAGTTTCTTTTGAAATACCAGAAAATCATCTCTGGGTAAAAATGCACCCCAACAAAGGTCGAAGGAGCACTGAGAAGGAAGGACCTTATAGCCGACGTCTTCCTCGGTCAGCATACAGAACAGCAGGGCCTTGGACGTCTACAGTGATGTATCGCTGGTTTTTACTGAGTGCAACTTCTTTTGTAAAAACAAATAAGCCTGACGCATCCTGAAACTAGTTTATAATGAATTCTCTCCTGACGGGCTCCAGGTGGACTGTACGGGGGATTGGAGAGGGCTGCACTGGAACCTAAACAAGACTGCCCTGGAAGTGGTTTGGCCCTGCGAGGTTTTCATTTTCAAAAGGTGCACACGGACAACAGCACCGAGTTCGGCACACGGGGCCTGGCTGCGAGGGTGCTCACAGGAGCCTCTTGGGCGACTGTCTTTGTGCTGGGACGGTCTCCGGGCCCGCCTTGGTCAGGAGTGTGACGTGGTTGTTGAAGTGGCAGAGGGCTTTCAGGCCGATGAAGAGCTGTATCCTCAGGGCACAGACATCCATACTGACAGGTGGGCAAGCCTAGTTGGGGGGGAGGGGACATCAAGTTAACCAAGAAATACATGACAATGCGCATGAGCATGAACCACTGAAATGACGTGTGATAAACCCTCTACTGTCCCTAAGAACCACGTACGGCTTTATTTTCATCCTAGTTAGAGACAATTAAACTGAGGTTACCAATTATCTAAATACACGTGTGCCTGCCACAAAGACACACAGGGCCCACAGACCGCTTCTCTGCCCTGGCTCTGGCAGACTGTTCTAGAACTGCGGTCCTGGGTCTGCACTGGGGGAGTCCCTCTACACTGGACCAGTTTGCTCTGCAGATGGATACAGCGGGAAGGGGCCCAGGGAGGAGTTTCCCGGCAACATCAGACACCATAAAAAGACACTCAACTGCATACGGAATCCACCAACGATTTCTTTATGGTTAAACACGTTGAGAGAAATGATGGCCGTGTTCAGGGGCTCAGTTGGCCCCTCAGATATGAACAGGGTCTGGAGGGGCAGACAAGTTGAGTCTGTCAGGAAACCCTGGACGGGGAGGTTCCCTCTGAAGGGCCACTAACTCAAGTCCAATGTTCCTCCCCCCACTATCATGACCTTACAAATCTGGCTAGACTGGAGCATGTACACGGGAACAGATATGCACTTTGGACACACGGAATCCAGGACAGATATGCCCCTCAGGTACAGAAGTGGGAAGGGTAACACCATGAGGGTAGGGGAAGGTGGTGGCGGGAGGGGGAGAAATAGAGAACTGACTACAATGACGTAGAATCCCTACCCTTCCCCCGTCCCCAGGGGCCGAACACAGTAACGCAGATTAAAAGAGACAGCGAGCAGTATAACATATGGGAACAATAACACTTTATAATTTATCAGGGGTCCATGAGGGTGGGAGAAGGAGGGGAAGAAAAGAGGAGCTGATACCAAGGGCTTGAACAGAAAGAAAATATTTTGAGACCGATGATGGCAACATATGTATAAATGTGCTTGATACAAATGATGTATGGATTATTACAATAAAATGATCTATAAATTAAGAACAATTTTTTTTAAGACAAGCCAAGCACTCTTCCAGAGAGCTCCCGCCTGGTGCTGGCCGCCAAGCTCCCAAGGACAAGTTTCCGTCTGAGGGCCTGGCGTCCCCGCTCCTTTGAACAAAGTGGTTGGGGGAGAAACCCCTCCTGACCTCTGTTCCTGAGGAGCAAAACCTCGGAGGAGCCAGGAGCTCAGGACAGGAGACAAAGCCCGAGCGAGCAGCCTGGGAAGCAGATGCGGCGAGGCTGGGGAGACTGTGTCAACGGGCACCACTCCCACAGCTGCATCAGCAGGCCAGCGACATGACGCCGTGCCGGCTCCGGTGACATGGAGGGTCTCCGAGCAGGGCAGTCACAGAGAAGGAGAGGCACGGGTGCAAATGACCATCCCTGTCCCTCTCTTCTCCCTCCAGGAGGACTGACCTCATGGCCACATGCCCCACGAGCTGTCCATCCTCTCCCGGGGTCCCTGCCCTTTGGTTGTATGGACCCCAGAGACCTGAAATGATGATTTATTTTCAAATACAGTTTGATCTTACTTCAGTCGACTATGTAGCCCACACTCTGTTATAGAAAGCGACACAACTTTGTATTTCTGAGATTTTTAAGGACAAAACCAACAGACTGAAGAAAATGAGGTAAGGTGTCGGGAACAGTGGGTGGGCACCGCGTCAAGTCCAAGACCAACCTCACTGCCACCCAGTCACTTCCAACTCACAGCGACCGCAGGAGAGCACACAGCGGCCCCTGTGAGTGTGCAAGCCCGTCACGTTTTCCAGGTGTGGACAGCCGCCTCTTTCTCCCTCTGAGCAGCTGGTGGTTTTGAACTGCTGGCCTTGTGATTAGCATGGCCCCGGCGCGTGAACCACTATTCTACCAGGGCTTCTCGGGAAGACAGTAAGAGGTTATTCTCTGCCCGCTTCTATTTTTTCCCCGGAGGAAAAGAAAGCTTTCTCTTAAAAAAGAAATCTCTGAAGAAGATTCCGTGTTTTGTCTTTCACGCTGAAAGACACGGGGAAGCTGTGATTCCAGAGCCTACGGGTCAGCCATTGCCGGCCACTGACAGCGGCGGAAGCCACGCCAAGAGTCCCTGAGAAACCAGCCCACGCTGCCCCTAAAACACTGCCAGCTGTGTCCGCATACCTGGGGGCACCTCGAGTCAGCATAATCAAGGGGGGCAGCTTTATTTATTTCATCATCACTGCTAAACAATGCGTTTTCTGAGAAAAGTCAATCTAGGCTTTTCACACCAACTTTGGATTTCCAAAGAAAAAGAGCCACACAAACCAAGCTCACTCTCCAGGAGTCCAGTCCAAGTCACAGGGACCCTACGGGTCAAGGCAGAACGGCCCCTCTGAGACACGTGCTGCACATTCCTAACAAACATTCCAACAGCTTACACCTTCAGATGTGAAATGGGATCTGGTGAGCATCATACCAAGGATCGGTATATTTCTGAGACCAGGAATTCAAGATCATGAAACCAGAGCACTTCCTCGGTTAAGTGGCCTGTTTGTTTTGTGGTGGAGAGCTTCTCAGAGAGTAAACATAGTACTTCTTACTCAAAGTGAGGTTACTGATCTAGGAAACCCATTAACCTTCGTATGAAAGATTATGGAAATGTTGGAGGTTGTAAAGGGCTTATAAAACTAGCAAGAGAATTAAAGGCCTACTATGAATGTATAAATAAATAATTTTAATGAATTTTATTTCAATTTTGTGCTCATAAATATATCGATGTGGTTAGGTTTGGTAACAGCTCTATACAATTGCTGCTTACATTTTATTATAAAAAAAACAACAGCAAAAAAGCCTACGATATTGTCTTAATCATAACAGAAATACCAGAAGCTAAACCGTATATAGCAGAAATACAATTAAGCCATAAATAAATAAATAGACAGTCAAAATGCAAAGTACTTTGTCTCATGTACTTTGGACAATACACAGTCACTGTACCAAAAAGAACGAGTTAACATTCAACCATTTCAAGAGGTAGCATCAGAACATGAACCAATGATGCTGAAAGCATTAGCCAAGCACAAGGTTCTCGGAATTGATGGAATACCAATCGAAATGTGCGAGCAAGCTGATGAAGCTCTGGAAGCACTCACTCATCTATGCCAGGAAATTTGGAAGACACTAACTACTTGGCCGACTGACTAGGAGAGATCCATATTTATACCCAATCCAAAGATGAGCCAACAAACACATAAATTATAGAACACTACTATTAAAATTACATCCAAATAAAGTTTTGCTGAAGGTCATCCAACAAGAGTTGCAGCACTACATTGACAAGAGAGACGCCAGAGGTTCAGGATGGATTCAGAAGAGGACATGGAATAAGGGGTATCTATACTGCTGACGTCAGATGGATCTTGGCTGAAAGCAAAGAAAACCAGAAAGATGTTTACGTGTGTTTCACTGACTATGCAAAGAAACAGTCAAAGGACTGTGTGGATCATAACAAACTGTGGACAGCCTTGAGAAGAATGGGGATCCAAGAACGCTTCACTGTGCTCACGTATGGAATTGTACCTGGAGCAAGAGGCAGTTGTGTGAATGGAACAGAGGTGTGTGCATCAGGGTTGCATCCTCTCTCACTCTTATTCAAACTCTACGGTGAGCAAATAATCAGAGAAGCTGAAGTATAGGGAAAAGAATTCGGCATCAGCATTAGAGGAAGGCTTACTAACAACCTGTGGTCTGCAGAGGACAACCTTGCTGGCTGAAAATGAGTCCTGAACACTTGCTAACGAAGATCAAGGCTTTCGGCCCTCGGCACGGATGACGACTCCAGGTAAAGAAGACCCAAATCCTCACAACTAGACCAACAGGTAACATCGTGATAAATGGGGGAAAGATTGAATCAATAAAAAAGCTTTGACTTCTTTAGAGCCACAATCAAAGCGCATGGAAGCAGCAGTCAAGAGATCGACTGATGCGTTGTATTGGGTAAATCTCCCACACAAGAAGACTTCTTTCAAGAATGGAATAGGATGTTACTTTGAGGCTTCGGGACTCAGGTACACCTGACCCAACCTGTGGTATTTTCAATGGCCTCCTACGCATGTGAACGTTGGACAATGAATAAGGAAGACCACAGGAAAATCAATACTTCTGAACTATGCTGCTGGTGACAACTACTGAAGGTACCACAGCCTGCCAAAAGAGCAAGGCGATCTGCCGCAGTGCTCCTTAGAGCAAGGAGGGCGAGACTGTCTCCTGCGCTCTGGACATGTGGTCAGGAGAAGCGTACATCACGCTTGGTCAAGCAGTGGCAGCCGAAAAAGAGGCGCACTCTTGACAAAGCGAATTGACAAGGCGGCTGCCGCCACGGCTCCCAGTAAGAACAGTGGTGGGGGCAGCGCAGGACGGGCAGTCTGCCGCTGGCACACAGGCCCCTGCGAGCTGGACCTGCCTAGGTGGCACTGTGCCCCGATCGAGCTGCCCTGGATCGTAGGTACAGACGTGCTCGAAATCCCGGGGTTTCTTCTGCTGGCAATTCACGTGGCTGTTTTCATTGCTGCCAGTATTCTTGTCGTTGCTGATTTTGTCAAACTTCCTGGTGCTGTAGCCACACTGTTGGGGTAAGTGGTATCTGTGAACCTCTGAACCAATATCTTTTTCGAGAAGATAGTAGTAATTAAAGGGAAAAAAAGCGGCTTCTGTTCACCAGAAACACATCCGGCTGTAGAAACATTTTACAAGAGTTTTGCTGGGAGTATTCCTATAAGCCAAGAAATATCACACTTACACCAACTTACAGTTATGTACGTCACAACGGTCTAAGACTAAAATTGATAAAAAGCATTTCTGAGGATTTTCTCGGTCTCTGTGGCCGGGCTGGGGCTGGCACCGGCACCATGCTTTACTGCACTGGCTAAGCCACCAGACCTGGTGGTGCCTCTGCTTATGTAAGCACACAATCCAATCCATAACAAAAGGGAACAACAAGTGATCCAAATTGGTGGTGAGGCGGGTGTGGGAGGTCTGGTAGGGCATGATCAGGGGTAATGTTAACAAAGAGGAATTGCTGAAACCCTGGTGGGGACTGACCATGATAGTGGGACGGGAGGAAAGTCAAGGGAAATAGAGGAAAGA